GAACTCACCAGCTTTAATGCTGATCTATGCTTTCAAAATAACTTGTATTCTCAGGTCGCCAGTAGACAGGTATAGATGACCAGGTTTTGAGAAGACGGAGCTTTCAAGACTCGTCTTTATATTTGATTATTCATTTTTGGTGTCTTATAAACTACAGAACACACTTGTATTAAAATTATATTATTAATGCAATGGATGATGCTGTTGCTTGTTTACTATTATGCATTGTTGTGATACTGTACATGACGTCCTCCGCCCCTGAACGTTTCCGCCGTTCCGGTTTGGGGGTGTGACAGAATGAGGCTAAAGAGACTGATAGGGTTGGTCCAAGAGGCTAAAAGATGTTTAAATAGGGGACAAGTCCGAGATTTAGGGTTTTGGTCCTCTGTTGCGTACGCCCAACGTACGTAAGGCTCCTCCGCGATCCTTCATGCAGAGTACGCTAAGCGTACTCATAAGTACGCCCAGCGTACTCAAGGGACCAATTATGTCAAAATAGGAATTCTTCGAGGGTCTCAAGCCATACCTGATTTAGGGCATTACAACCAAGCTCTTGGCTTTGGGACAAAAAGATGAAAATCAAGACTTAACTAAGATGTAGTAAAACATAAACCAAGTTTGGAGCTTTATACCTCCAAATGGTGCATAAAGAAAGGGAGATGATGGATCCAAACTCTTGAGAGCAAAGCTTACTTCTTGAGGGTTCTTCTTCACAAACAAGGAAGCACACAACTCACTCCAAAGGCTCAAAATGCTCAAAATGAACTAGTGTTTGCAAGGAGGGTCGATCTTAGGATGGGGGTTGATAAAAGGAAAGGTCTTGAGGCTATAATGGGGTTTAAATAATGCAAAAACCCTAAATATTAGGGTTTTTGGTCTGAACCACGTACGCCCGGCGTATCGGAGTACACACGGCGTACTGGCACGGGATATGGTATGCTCAGCGTACTAAAACGTGTGCCCCGTGTACTCGAGCAACACTAAAAAGTCACGGATTTTGACATCGAGGACCCTTCTTGGAACAAATCAAAACTTAAGGGTCCAAAAACAAATCTGGAAAAATAGATGTTACAAGAATACAAGCTGAACTTATACAAAAGGAAATAACAGAAAGGACAGGAAACAAGGAAGTAAACAAAAGACTTTCTCAATATGTAGAGCTGTGATAGTCAGAGCATTGATCGAATCATTTCAAAAACTAATGGTCCTTACTTTATGCTTATTAAGTATCATAAAAGTGATTTGAATCATAATTAAATCATTTCCAAACTAAATATAGTCTTTTAATTAATTACTATAGATTTTGGTTCATAATATTTTAGAAAATAACATTTTGAATCGTATACTTTTTATCTTAATATCTTGGATCATATAACATTATCTAGATCATATCAAATTAAGGATAAAAACATGCTAAATCATAACATTATCTCTTTACAAACTTAATAATATAAAAAATTTATTTTATTTTTTGGAGACAATATTTCTTTTTGGTTTCTATAAAAATAATTCTTTTTTTTTTATTTTCATGACTATGCTTATTTTGTTGAAATTAAATTTTAATAACTTTGATTTTTCATATTTTTTTTCTTATACAAAGAAAAAAAAAATTAAGACTTAAAAAATGAAATTAGTGGTTAATTTAGCGAGCCCTCATAAATTATTAGTTCGCAGAATAAATGACAAGTCTACAAAAGCCGTCATTTTTTGTAGGATCTTTTTGCTTATTTTTTACACATGGGTTTTTATTTGATTATTTTTGAAAATTTCTCAATTACAAACATTTTCAATACAAGTTAACTATATCAAGTTGCTTTATTCCGTAAAAAAAAATTATAAAATAACATTAAAAAAATAAAAAATAAAAAAAAAACCCAGCATATACAGCATGCAGCTTTAAAGAATCCAGCAAATAACATCACATATGAGAAGACCACAATAAGATCCTCATCGTTCCATTAAGACGTCTATTTTACAATAATATCTACATAAAATCTTCCAACTCCAAACTCTCTGGAATCTCGAACTTGAAAATATTGTTGCAGTAACTTTCTATCTCATCCTCAGTACTGCTGCCATTGATGAACATGGATGATGAATCTAATGGTGTTGGGCTTGAGATGGGTGTTGGAAAAATAGAATCGATGTTAAAATTGTTGTTTTCAGTATTTGATGGCTGGAAACTTGAGCTTTCTGATGCTTGTGAGGTAAATTGATCGCTATAGTTTTGAAGGGCAATAGAATTATCAGTTATGCATGGAGGCATCAACTTTTCTTGACTACTTTGGGAATTCAAGCTGACCAAGTTCCCTGAAAAGTATTGGCCATTATTTACTTGCATGTGGTTTTCTTGATGCCAAAGTTGATTGCTTGGAAGGTTTGAAGGAGTGGAAGTGACATTTGCGATTGGCTCATTTGGCTTTTGATTCACGGGGGCTATGTAGTTATTAAGAAACAACTCTTTGTTTTCTTGATTCGATGATGTTGATGCTAAGAGATTGGCAAGCCTTAAGACTTGGGGATTTACAAGGCTTTGGATTTTAAAAAGGTTTGAGAGATTAAAGGAAGCTGAGCTTAGTATGGATGAAAGGTCCAAGAGATCTAGACGAGGACGATGAGTCACTGGATCAATTCCGTTCTTGATTAGCCTTTTCCGGATGTGGGTGTTCCAGTAGTTCTTGATTTCATTGTCAGTTCTTCCAGGCAAACGAGCTGCAATTGCGGACCACCTATTGGAATAACCAAGTTGATATTCAATTAATTAGAATTTATTGGACCTTAACATAAGTAATTTCTAATTTTCTATGCCTAGCTAACGCTAATAGATCATTTTAGTTGGTCTTGAGATATGAATACTTGTAATAGACTAATTCAAATTGCACCTTCTTATTAAATATTTTTTTTCAAAAAATTCATAAACATTTCTTTAGATTGCAAATTGCACAGATAAATAGCAACTAGCCAATCTTGTTACAATATCCATCATTTTTTTAAAGATGTTGTGAAGACTTTCACATGGTCTGCCGATTACTGAAAAGATGATTATAAAAATCTTGATCTATGAACTTACTTATTCCCAAGAACACTGTGTAGTTGAATGATGCTCTCTTCTTCTTCAAACGAGAATCTTCCTCTCTTGATATCAGGCCTCAAGTAGTTTGTCCATCGAAGACGACAACTTTTCCCACATCGTTCAAGTCCTATTACATATAACCAAAACTATAATTAAAAAAAATCTATATATGACTTAATTAACACAAAGCAAATAAGGGGTTGCACCCCACACACACACACACCAAAAAAAAAAAAAAAAAAAAACCTCACCAGAGTTCTTTGGCAGGGTTCGCCAATTGCCAGGTCCATGTATTTGAATGTATTGTGTGAGTTTGAGGTCTTCTTCTTGTGTCCATGGCCCTTTCTTGAGTCCACTTTTGTCACAACATGGTGATCTACCCATCTTCTTGCTGTCTTTTAGTTGGGTCCTTGCGATCTTAAAGAAAGATTGATGTGAAGGCGAAAAGATGAATGGTTAAGCTTCGGTTTTTGAAAGAAAAAAGTGGAAGTTGTAGCTATATATTCTGAAGGGGAAGATGACTAGTCCTTCATATATTGATAGGAATTAAATATGCCACAATTGTTGTGAGGTCATAGGGATTTGACTGTCAAAAGGATTTGGTGCTAGCCTAATTCTACAATCAACCTCGATCTCTCTCTCTCTCTCCCTCCCTCTTTTGTTATATAGAAAACACTGAAAAGTTGAAATGTGTATAGAAGTAACAGATAATGAATTACTAGGAATGCATATAAAAAAGACGAATGACATAAGATTTGTTTGGCTTGCTACCTTTCTTTCATGCGGGTCTTGAAAAATGATAAGTCCGGTAATAATTTTAGGAATGTGGACTTTAACGTTTGACCTTTTTTTAAAGTGAAGGTTAATGGTGGGTAAGGTTGTTGGATGTTCTACCGGTTGTGAGGAAATGTATGTATCGTTTCTTGTTCTTCTATCCTACGCACTTTTTATGAATCCATTTCTCTACAAGTGTTTCTATATTTGGTATAAGAAATTCCTTTTCATTATTATGGCTTTCATTATGACTATGGCTTTCATTAATGTCTCACTTTATCATATCGTTAATTATGCCACAAAGTATGAAAACTATAAGAATCAAGATTAAATTAACAACATGCCTTTGTTTTAATGGTACAAATTAAATAAGACTTATCTTTAAACATACATACATAAGTTGCTTTAAGAAAACGAATTGACATTAAAAAAAAGGATGGGAAGACATAGCATGAGCGACGAGTTGGAGGCTGAAAAGTCGTACACAATTGCAAAATCAAATTGCACTTTTGGAGCAGTTAAAGAAAACCACTAAAAACTTGGTATATTATGAAAACTTTTTGGTTTTTTTATATCTTTTATAATACAAGTGTCAGCGTTTTTGGTATATAACAAGGTGATAATATGTTTTGGCAAGACCTAATATTTTGACAATTTTTTTTGGTTTGAACTGGTTAGTATTATATGATATTATATGATGATTTGATAACGAGGTTATGGTGATTATGATTATCATGATACTTTGATGATGAGCTTATAGTGACTATTATTATTATTAGAATATTTTGCATTTAGAGATGGTAAAATTTTATTTTGTAAACTTTCATGCCAAATGATGTTAAAGATGTTAAGTTAATCATACATTTGTTGCATCTTATGTATAACATTGGTTCATAGGTGAGATGGTTTTTATGCATTGCAAGAGAACCAGACGGTTACCGACGGTCAAATCCATTAGTACTTTGTCGGTATATGGTCAACAATGACAAATTTCCAGCAAAATGATTTTCATCGTAAGAAAACCGTGGGTAAATACCGATGGAATTGTAACGAAATGTTTTTGCTGGCTTTTTTGTGACAAAACTAAGACGAACAACGATTGTGATAGAACTCTAATAGACATGGATTGTGACGGGATTACGACAAAATTGCACAGGAAGTTGTTGACCATTTTTTTTGACGAATTTTCAATGAAAATATGTTGTAACAGATTTTTGACAGACTGCATGCCTATAGTGATAAGTATTTGTACCTAAGCTAGTGACAAATTCACATGCATTTCATTTGCATTCCAATTGTATTTGAAGTATGGATTGGGATTGTTGCAAGTTTTATCATAGCGGACCCATAAAAAAATGTTAAAGGTAGCACGCTCGAAAAATTGTAATACACCGGAAAATTTCTAAAGAAATTTACACTACTTCGTAAATTTGAATAGTAACACGACTCACTCCATGCAACCAATTAGGTCCTCCCCTAAATCTTGTTCCTACATTACAATTA